TTAATATTACCTAGCAGAAATTTGAACATGTATGGGTATATTTTGTGTAACAGTGCAATTTTCTGAATTACATTTTTTACCATGTGATTTTCTAACACTGGATTTCCAATTACAATAGAAAGACAATAGCTCTAAGAAGAAACGGGAACATTTTGACAAATAGAAACCTCACGTAAAAAATTAAATTGTTTAGTGGTCACTGCATCATCGTTCATGGTATACTATCCACATCCCCAATATTAAATAGTAAATTAATTATTATTATTATTTTTTTTTTTTTTTGGATTAGCCACTTTAATAAAGCACAACAAGCTTGAATGGAAAAACTGAATCTCCTACTTACTCTCCCCCCTTACACAAGACATTATGAAGAAATACTTCTCTCTTTACCACCCTAATGTACTTCAAAAAGAAAATTTTAAAATAAAAAAAATCACAAACGTATTTAACCCGCTTCCCTCTAATTTGACCTTCTCAACCAGTTCTTTATTGTCTTCATCTTTAACAGGTGGTTCATTATTTCAACAAAGAGAAGAGGTGGGCCCCTTGTCGTCTTATCAGTTGACCATTTAGCTAATCAGGGAAAGCTATATTTAGCTTATCAGCTTATCAGTATCGTTCTGTCTGTCAGAGCCAGTAGTTGATAGTCCGAATCCGTCTTATCCGCCCGAGTGACTTTGGTCAGGTGCTAGAGGACATGTAGATATCCAGGAGAAAATACGGGATCGGATTTATCCAGAACAATTATTTTGAACATCACGAAATCAACATAGGTCAACGAAGTAAACACTTCTACAAGGATTTACAACTGAATTGTGTTTTGTGTTAAAAGTGGGCATTTTTCTAGTGTTAACAATCTTGTTCTTTTTGGATTTTTGTTTAAGTGTTATAAAGTGCTTCTTGATTCAAAGTTCTCTCGGGATTTAAAGGATTCAAAAGATCCGCTGAAGAGTTCGGTGAGTAACAACATTTAGGAACACTTAAGGAATATTAGGAGTATGAAAAATAAGACAAATTAGGAATATTCCATAACAAAGGGCTGATGGGGAGGAAATTGTTTTATAAGTATTTCAAACATATTGTATTAGTAATTTAAATTGTCTAAAATAATTTTCCACGTGTCAGATTTATTGATAAGTTAGCAGTAACGAATTAAACATTTCAACTTTCATTCCATTGGTACGATAATAATTTTTTTATACAAAAAAAATGCATATGGCAATAAGTTATTGTAAATCAGGGAAAATATAAGTTGAAAATTAAAGGAAAAACATAAGTAGAGCAAATCATTCATGAATAATATGACTAAAACCAGTCCTCATTTTATGACCTTAAAATATAAGGTTTAAGTCGACAAATATTCAAACGCAGTTTTAATTGTTTAAAAATGTTAAAACTACTTCAAATTCATGTTGAAAGAAAACTATATTATTTGTAAAGCAAATATGTATGCATTTGATCTTATATCAAGACGTTTTAAGTAGATTTCATATTGGTCTTATCACAGATTAAAGAGTATACACCATTCGTGAGAATATCGAATTCACCTTAATTTCAAATTCTGTACACTAAGTTTGAAGTCATCCATGCAATACAAACATATCACGTTTCCTATTCCATTAATACACCAATCATGCATCACTATTGCATGTTCAATCTGGTTGCTTATTCTCGACATCGTCTTATTAGCCTTGTGAAGTATAATTGTTTTATTTATATGACAACATTGTGACATTTTACACATGATTGTACGTAACCTATTTGTAAGGCGTAGTTTTGTATGAACATTGGTTACATGTATGAAATATCATTTCTTTTATTGAGTGGGTCATATTTATGTATAGTTATTGCAGCAAATTTGCATTGCCCTAAGACTTGTTAAATTCACTCAACCTTATCTAAGGTTATAGTATCAAGTTTCTGTAATATCAAAGGTTTACACTTTGTAAATACTAGTGATGTTTACTGTTATATAATCAACGGTTTCATCTAATTTTATATCTAAAAAATTATCCAAATGTTACGTTAAAAAATCAAAAAGGTAAAATAATAAGATAACATACACAGATTTAAATGAAATAGGAATAAACTGTTTTCACGGTATGGATATGAATGTAACAACGAATATCAAAATTTTTTTTCAATTTATAGGTAGTGAAATTGTCCTTTACTTAATAATTCTTTTTGAAAATTAACTTGACACTTTTCTATTAAAAATTGGACGTTTCTCTATACAAGTGTATTAATATGTTTCTTTGATTTAATTACAACATTGATACACTGAGCATTTTTCAAGAACGTTTAAAACAGTGAAGTTCCAACAAACAAGTCACTATATCAGATTACATGTATTGCTACTGATAGTACAAACTATTTCAGTATTCATTTTAATGCACACGTTCTTCAACTTAATATTTTAGTTTACTATAATGACTGCAACTGTTTACGCATTCGTATTCCAAAAGCCATAACATAACAAAAATTCGCCAAACAATTTTCTACTATCTAAAAATTGTCAAACCAAAGTTTTATAATTTGCAAGTTTAAAGCTCTAAAATTAGGTTTGATTCCTTATGATTTGGATTATTCTAATTTTGTTTATCATCAGATACTGATGGGTCTCAGTAAGTTCAAGCAAGTAAAATTACCACAGTTAATTTTTTACCTTAAGTTGTTTTTGTGTTGAATTTGAGAGAGTGAGATAAAATTAATCTACTTTAAAAACCATTTAAAAGTATGAACTAATGAAACAAACGATTTAAAATATCGGGGAATTTAAAATGCAGTTGGATGTACAGGGGGTCATCAATTAATTATTGGACACATTTTAAGATTATATACAAAATAACAAAGCAATTTAGAAACATGGGAATTGTTTGGTGCAAATTTAAAAAAGGTTTTATACAGTGACTAAAAAAAATATAAAAATTACAGTAATTATAAAAATAGTTTAGCCCTCTAAAAAGTGTGTAACAATTAACTAAACCGTGAGAGTGAGTTATGTCTTTTCTCAATGATTTGTGATGTGACATAGTCAGCTGGCCAGCAATGGACCTTTCTACACCAGCTGTGTGTGACATTTGACGAATCAAACATTAAACTGATTTAACAAAATGACTATTGTGCAATAAAAAGCAAAGTTTTTGGTTTCATGAAAGCTAATTTGTAATAACTGTTCGAAGAAGGATTCGTTTAGATTATGGCCGTAATTCTCCGTGTAGCAATTCTATAAAAATGTGGTACAGGCAGTACAGACTGGGGAGTATCCAACATTAATCTAAAGGGTCCACATCTCAAAAGAAACATAACAGTTTAAGAGATTTTTACAGTCTTTTTAAAACTAATTTCCATAATTTCTGACATTTTTATACTTAAATTTGCGCAGTTACTGTATAAAACTGTTTTAAATTTGCTATTTGATGAAACAATTTCATTCTAAGGTACTTGGTTATTTATTTATTTAACCTTAAAATGTGTATAGTAATTTATGACCACCCTGTATCATTTATTCATTTAATATGCTGTATTTTCTCTTTGATCGTCATAAGGATTATCCTTTCGCTTAGATTGCTGCAGCGAGCTGTTGAACATTATTATTACATACGTCATCGTATATTCCCTTTGTATACCCAGAACTCCCGCGTAAACCATATTAACAAGCATGATAAATTAAATAACAGACAAAGAGTTCCCTTCATTTATTTTTGTATGTAAATTATACTGTTTAAAATCTTTTGGACGTGGTAGTACTCTTTTATCATGATAACATATCTTCTTATTTTTAAATATTGTTTACTAAAATATAAAAGGAAAATGTGGCTCCTTAAACGGGTATTAAAATCATTTTAACCAATAATGTAAATTACGTAGTTTAGTTTACTTTGAATTTAGGTTTTCGAACAATCATTATACACAAGCTAGTATTCATTCACAACAGCTATACAGTATCTCGTTTTTGGATAATTCCATATTGTCACACTTGCACTATATGTGAGTCAAAGCTAGTAATATTTATTTTTATTAGTAAAAGAAATACTTTATTATCCTACGAGGGATTTATATTTATAACATTATGATTAACACCAGTGATACTCGTATAATTTGCAGTTGTACAAATTAATAACTATATAAGATTGTTTGGTTATAATCTTTTCTAATTATATATTCAACTATGATAAATCTGTTTTGTAACATATAAAATCTAAGTAACTAGTATAGAATATTTACAAATCCTGTAAGAACACCCTCCCAAATCACTGATAATATATCAAAATAATCTCTATGAGACATTATCGACATTCTACAGTTGGATATTTGAGTAAGACGTTTACAATTAGTTTGATAAATATAGATTTTCTTTCACTTTTAAAATAAATTTAGGCCTACTATTAAATATTTTTGACAGACTTAAAAATGGGTGTTGTTTTTTGTAAAATTACTAGTTTTATTAATTCAGTGAGTAAATGAATATACATTTTTTAAACTTAAATGTATCTATATTTTCGTAGTACCGTAATCTTTCCCAAAAATATTTAACCTATACAACACGTTAAGGGTTATTCTATTTAATCTTGACCACGTTTATTTAAACATATAGGGTAATAAAATCAAGTTCAATTTTGTTTATTGAATTTTATAAATATTCATTAGATAGTTGTGGGTTTGTATAACATTCCGTAAGGGACCATAATGATTGGAAAGGCCAATTAAAATTGATTTCCACATATAACAAAACTTTAAAACTCTCTTCACTTTCAACCAGGGAAAATCGGGAGTTGGACCCTAATTACTTTAACTGCTCACAAAAATATCAGTCTTACAAAAAACAAAAATTAAAAACTTTTCTCTCAGTGAAAAAAATCGGGAGTCCCCGAGTCCCCTACCCGGCTTTGGCCGCAACTTGTAAAAAAACTCGTCGTGACGTAAGCAAGTGACGTAGTGAGCCGGGATTGGTTAAATAACGCGACGAGCGCTCCCTGGCGAAGACTAGTTCCCTCTGTCGCTCCCTCAGACTCGTCAGTCGTGTGTCGTTCGTTATGCTGTACTGATCAGTCTAGTGTGTGAAGTGTTGTGTCACGAAAGTCCTTCATTGAGGGATATTGTTGCCTACTTACGGTAAGCGATGATTTTGTGTTCTCGAGTGTTAAGATTTTAGTGTGAGTTAACCGGCAGTGAGGACGCCGACCTCACCGGCGGAGATGGTGATTTTAGGTTGTGGATGTTGTGGGGTTTAATTTTGGAATAGTTTCATATAATGTAATCGTGTTATTTACAATTTCATTAAAGTAGCAAAACTGTATTAGACCTGTGTTATGAAGAACCTTTTTTAACACGTCGACTGTTAAATTGAAACATTTTAGTTTGTAAATTGGTATGTAGTAATGGTTTGAAGTAAAAATCATTAAGTTAAAGTTTTCGTTTTACGCTTTATAAACCTGCCAAAGTGACGTAACATTACAACCGACCTTGCCTGCAATGATAAAGAAAAATTATTTTATAATTGGTTGTCAAATTCGGGAGTTTTATAATTTACATTAGTTGGGTCTTTTAGTGGCCTTTTATTTGTTATTGGTTTCATATAAGGATTTTACTGACATTCTTTAATTTACTGAAGTAGCAAATCATTTGATATAATACTGTATGTAAGTATTATTGGACCATTAATTAATTTACCAACCTGCTAACACAATTTCTCTTTTTAACATAAAGATTAAAGGTTTTTACCAGAGTCATTGTTGAAAATGTGACAGGTAATCTATGCAAAAAAAAGTAAATTTTTAATTTATTTCCGATTTTTTAAACAGAAAATCCGTTTTACAATTTAACTAACAGTGTGATACTATTTACAATATCTACCAACACTTTGGTAAAACTGTATAATTAGTTGAGTATGTGTTATTAAGTAACGACTGTTGGAATAGCTCGAATAAAAAACACTAAGCTGTGATACTCGTAGTTTTATTAGTGGTATGGTATAAATAACTTGTTTATGTTTACATACTGACAGCAGGAACCCGTTATTTATACTAACCTTGCTGCAACTACTTACTACAAACTGTCAGGAAATAAGCAAAAATAATATTACAATAAAATGTATCATTCATATACAGTAAAAATTCATCAATACGAGTACAATACATGACAAAATGTATGCATCTTATGGTGGAAATTGCCTTGGAAAAAATTTATGACTACCAGTTCCTGATACCTACTGATTTTTATGACGTAGTCTATGTATGTAAACTTGAAATTTGGTTTAGGGAGAAAGATAAACATATAAAAAGAAGAAAGAGAAAGAGAATAAGACGAGAGTACCGCGGCAGAAATACTTCTTTCCTTTTCTATCAACAACCTATAGTTCCAGGAAATGGAGTTAACGGTTTCATAAACAAGAAATACAAACCCATTCCATCTTAAAAACAGGTAAACAATGAGTGAAGTGTGGAGATTAAATAGATAGCGGTCGGTATGATAATACATGTTAGTTGACTAATAGTTCTAATTATCAAACCGTATGCCTTATTGTTGATAGAATCTAACTAAACATTATTGTACATACAAATGTAATACTTTGCATAGCTGAACTTTGTATGTAATGTGAATTGTGTGAATTTAGGGACATACAATTTTTGAGTTTAAAATATAATATACACGAATGGTAGACAAAAAGAAGGAAATAAAATCCCCTTTTAAAATCTGAAAAACATATGTTATTTTAAACAAACAATATCAGCATTCTTCACTGGTCATGACAAGCTTCTCTTTCTGCTTCCAAAGAATCTGGTACTACAATATTACGAACTATAACAAAAATTACCGTCGAAATCAAATTTAAAACTACTTGCACTATAAATATAACTAAGCTAAGAGTAGTTTTCTAAGTTTATCATCAACGATCTATTTCGGTTTGGAGTAAATATATTTGCGAAACTCTAAATTCACGACGCAGACCCCCTAAATAATCTTCTGGTATATATGTAGCATCTTATATGTATGTTTCCGGACCTTTCGTAACATTTAAAATTAGCAGTCGCGACTTATAAAGTTATAACTAAATTTTAATGAGTTTTCAGTTGTACAAAACTGTTTGTATTATGAACTAAGAGTGTTTATTTTTTTAATTTATAGTTTTCAACTGTTTAAATATGATTTTGTATTACTATTGTAACATTCCATACGTAAAAATAATATTCTATTATTTTTCTAGGTTATCCTATCGTAGATATTGTAAACAATACAAACAATGTGTTAAATTGTAAAAAAAAATCCATCCACACAAAAGATAAATAAACATACTTTTTTTATAAATTTATTGATGAATTTTTGACAAAAGCCTATGACTTTTACTTTAACGTAGACTTTTTATTCCCGAGTTTTATATTTTCCTTTATTTCTAATTAGTAACATTTATTTGAGAGGTTGTAAACTAAAACTCAAGCTCAAATTTTTTACAGTAATTTATTACTATTAAACGTATTCAGAATATTAAAAATAGTCTCTGACGCTTAAGTTAGTAGTTTTCGTTGTATGCACAGTTTGTTTCTGAAAAGTTGTGTTTTATTATATTTAAGATAGGCTAGTCCACATTTAATCACGTGTCTGGTATCAAGTACGTTTATACCGAGTGGTGCACTGGTTCTCCAAACAGTGATCGACCCCCAAACGTAATTCTCCCAAATTTTACTCGGAAACTGGTTTGTTATTTTCCAAATACACACATTCAAACTCAAATTATTCAATAAATAATTATGTTTTAGCCTGGCGGTACACTGGTACGGCCTAATACAGTGATCGTGGGACACAGCGGCATTTGATCAGGATGCTGCTCATCAACGCAAACTTAGACCCCGTAGCCCCGTGTGGCCAAAGGCGCTCAGTGGAAATAAAATGATATCACCTTCGAACAAACGTAATAACGTTAAACATAAACCCTTTCAAATAACTAAGAGCCACGTGTGTGGTTTCAAGGAAAAGCGACGAAATCCTGAGGGAACTCACAGTGAAATGACACTCGTAAAAAATTGATCGGCTTTGAACGAAGCAAGAGTGTAGTTTAAGTTTTTAAATCGCTCACAGCACCGTGTTTGACTAAGTTATGGGAAAGAGAGAGAACCGTAAAACTGCATTGCGAAATGTTTGCTAGGCGAAAAAAATTATATTTCCTTAGATCATGCCTTAACATAGCCTTTGATATCACTTTTGCCTATGCCAACGTATTTGACGATGTTTAGCAAAGGAAACTCACGACGGAACAACAGCATGGTTCCCTTGAAATATTCCATGACAGCATATTTTATCAAGATATTGGTAAGGGAAGTACAACTGACAATCTGCATTCCAAATCAACGTTTGCTTACATTGATAAATCCTGAGAATAGGTAAAAATATAGTTGGATGGATTCAAAGCAGCGTATTAAATAACTTTTTAGGTAAAAAACACGGGGGCCTTGCTTTTCTACATTGGCACAAATTTACGTCAGTAGAAATAAACGCATGACTGTAAAGTTCCTGTAATTTACGTAGGCCTATGTGAGGAACTCATATTTTAACTTTCCATTTCGATCACAGCACCAATCATAAGTATACTGTCTACCCTTGACCAATGAATATACAACTTTTTGGGATGAATAATGTTTCAATGTTTCACAAACTACATTCCACACAATTCAGTTATAATTTGTAATGGCGAAAATATATACGTGTTTACCCAACCTTGCCTCAACAAATACTCGACCTATATCATAAACGGCCTTGCAGATGTATTTAGGCTGGCAGAGGACATGTTTTGATGCACTTGTCAGTCAGTTTACATGAATGCACTCTACGCTATTGGCTCAGCCAAAAACTGACGCTGGTGTAAATTTAAACGGTGTTTCCAAATTGTGTCTCGCGATGCATTTTGCTTTTGTTTGTTTATTGTCATCGAATGTTGGACTAGTGTTGAGTTAGTGAGTTGGAAAAGCTTAGTTCAACTTGGAAATTTAAATAAAATACAGATACGTACAGTGTTACAGTGGGCTGTATTCTTATAAAAAAAACCTGTTAAAAGCAAAATTCACACGCCACTTTTTGGCTTAAATGTGGTAAAATAAATTGTTACTAAGGAAATACAATGTTCTCCCCCCATAAAACCCAAAAATATACTTTTAAAATGTGAATCGGGAATTGTTTTAACATCAAACCCTCCCAGACACTTCTGACTGCCCTGGAATGTCACTTTCTCATGTTCTCTTGCTCTGCAGAGACGTCTACTCCCTCAAGGTCACTCCCCCAGTAACGTTATCCTTTGACACGGTCCCTTGATCCTGTCTTGGATAGCACATTCACAAATGCGTCACTCCTCCATCCCTACCACCATTTATTTTACCTTCGCCTCAAATTCCTAGAGGATGGATACTACTAACGACTTTTCCTCGGGGGTTTCCTTCTTTACTAAACGAACTATAATTTTCTTCCAAGAACGAGTTGACCAGAAAGTGTTGGGTTTCATTTATGTTCGAAAACTACATTGTTCAAACATTAAAAGTGCAATTAGTACAATCTGTCGTAGTGGTAATCGTACGTCGGAGACATCACGTGGTATAAGTCTAAACTGTAATAGATTCTTGTTGTCAAACGCTGGTCAAGAAGTTAAGAAGATTACCAACTATATCAAGAATAATAAAGTGCAATGTTAGCTATAAAGTTTTCAGGCTATAAATCTATCACTGTGATGAAATTTGCATTGTCGATTCAAATAAGAAGGTTATTAGAAAGCCTCTCTTGAAAACACCTTTCAAAACCGTTAGACCATGACAAACGTAACGTCTCAGTTTAACAAATATCAAAACTAGATGAAATTCGAAATATATTTACAGTATACTTTTCAAGCCGCTTTTACCCAAATGTTCTGAAAACGTATTCAACACAATACTTTGCGGATTTTCCTTTATATTCGAACTCTCTTCCTCGCGTTTGCAGAACAATTATCGTTACAAGAACTCTCAGAAGTTGGTTTTGTCGGATTCATGCTGGGCTAAATGACACGTGCAGTCTATCTATTTCCGGACCGTTTATTGAGAGGCTAATAAAGATATCCCTAGGGTTACCCCCGTGACCAAACCCCCCTTCCCACA